AAAAAAAAAAAAAAAAAAGAAGACCCCAGGGCCCAGGATGTGGGGCCCGCCCGCACCTGACCTCGGAGCGCTGACACCGCTAACCCGCCGGCCTCAGGATTCTGCCTGCACAGATATCAAGCAGCTGCCTGGGCTGGGGAGGAAGGGCTGTGGATGGAATCGTTCCCAGATAGGAAACTCTGAGATGCATCGTTACATGTCCAAGGTCTCCCAGAGTGTTTGGGGCTGAGCTGTGTTAGAACTGGGTGTTTACAGGGAACCAGGCAAGCCGAGGGGGACATGTGAAATAGGCTCAGAGCAGGCAGCCCCGAAGCCCCGTGCCTGTACGATCCATCCTCTGTCATTCTTTTTATGTAGTGTGTAGCCAGGAGGAATAGGACCCCGGTCTTAAAAAGCCAGAATAAGTGCAGACTGATCCCTGATCTAGAGGGTGGTCCCCCCAAGGGAGGGTCCTCACCGAGTTGGCAGGCAGGACCCTCAGGTGCCCATTTTAGCTCTAAGCACACCCTGGTGGCTGCTTTGTTACACATCCCCAAGGCACCAGGGAAACAGACCCATTTACCCCCGTCAACATGGACAGCTCGTCATTCCACCCAGGACCCGGAAAATACGGCTCACTGACGCTTGGCTCTTAAGTCTCTTCTTTCCTCCCTGGAAGAACTCGGACTCAGAGGGATGTGGGAGCTCCTGACACACCCTGCATCGGCCGTTCACACTCGGGTCCAGCTGGGCTTGTCCTGAGGCAGGGTTCAGATGCTCTGTCACACCTGCCACTAGATTTTTCTCGTGTCCTTCCCTCCACATCACACGTGCCTGTGTGTGTGACTTAGACGTGTTGATCCTCTGAGGCCCAGAGATCCCGCGTGTCTTCTTCGGCCTCATTACTTTAGCTCCTAGTAGGGTGCGTGCACCCACTAGGTGCTTCATATATGCTGATTGGGCAAATGGATGTGGACCAAAGAGCCTGTTCCAGATTGGGAGGTATAACCACACATGCACATAGAGACACTCACATGCGCGTGCATGCACTCGGGCACTGTGCGTGTGTATATGCGTGCACGTGGGTATGCATGGGCCACACTTACACACACGCACGTAGGTATGCACACACACACACAGCACACGTGTGCACACACACAGAACTCTTATTATGACACTGCGGACCTCAGAGGTGGGACAGAGGGTCAGAAGAAGTGCTTTGCGGAGCAGCAGGTGGAGAGGTCCCTCCCCTCTGGTGCCCGGGGTGGACGCAGCCGGAGAAGCTACCCTTGAATGCACCTTGGTCCTGAGGGGAAGCTGCCTCCATGGGGAAGTTGGGGGGCTGAAATAAAGAGGGGGCTCCCAGCAAGACAATGGTGAGTAGCTGGTTCTGATTGGAAATGGAAAGGGGGCCTTTCCAGAAGAGCACGGCTTTTGGCGAGGGCTGACGCGGTGGGCGGTGGGACATGCTGGGAGGGCATCCATATTCCGGGCACCACGAGCGGCATCCCGCCCTCTGCAGGTGTACGTGAAGATCTCAGTTCCCAAGGGCATCCGGTTTATCGGGCATCCAGGCAAACGCCATCTGACCAAGAAGATGTGCGTGGCCTCTGGGGAGATGGAGCCCGCCTGGGTGGTTCTGTCCTTCAGTGACCTGGGACTCAGTAATGTCACAGGTGAGGTCCCGTGCTGCCTCAGGCATCCCCCCTCCGGGCCACCAAAGGGTCCGCGTGCTGAGCCCAGGCACAGGTGAGGGGTGGGCGGGGCAGTAGATGAGGTCAGAAGGGCAGCTGGGGAAGCAGGCCAGTGGGATGGATCAGGAGGTCAGGACTGATGTAGACCCAGGGGTAGGGCGGGGCGGTCCCCCGGGGTGGGGCCTGAAGCTTCGCCTGGAGGGAGCTGAGCTTAGGTGCCACACCAGCCTGGCACACGTATGTGTGCACACATCTGCACATGCAAACACTCGGGCCGAGGGTGAGGGACGATGCGCCCCTCCCCCTGGGTGGGAACCTGTTCTGACCGAAAGCACTGAGCGCTCAAATCTCCGCAGCCAAAGCCCTCGCTTACGAAGAAACAAGCTGCTGCCGGGACGGGCAGTCCATCAAACACTTGGAGGAGAGCTTCGCTGACAGGCGGGTCCCCGCCGGGAGGGATCACATCAGGCGCAGTGTGATGGTTGAGGTAAGCCCATGTCCTCACCGAGGGCCCTTGGCCAGGGCCATCAACCATGGGGTGGGGGCCTCGCTGGAGTCTGTGATCCCCGCCCGGGGCTGGTGCAGCCCCGGTCCTGCTCTCGGTCTGGGGGCAGGTGAGGGGTCTCTGCATCTCCTCGTTAGGGGACTGCAGCATCCGGCCTCCCCTGCCGTGCAGAGTGAGATTTGGTAGAGCGGCCTGGGACAGGCAAGGGCTGCAGGGAAGTGTCCTCTGACCCCCACATTGACCATCTTAGAGGGCAGTGTGCATCTGTCTCCGACTTCCTATGTGTTCTAGGCAGTTATGGGGATCGTGACCTGATATTTGGAGGGCTGTCGCTGAATGCCCGTGCAGAAAGGACACAGAGCCTAGAGCGGAGGGGCCCAGGGGTTGGGGTCTTACTGACATCCCACCCCACCCCCGCCCCCTGGCTGGGAATCTAGGATCTGCCACTTAGTGTGGGTTGGGCACCTGTCTTGATATTCCGACACCGCTCCCTAAGTCGGGGCTTCTCACGCTCAGCCCATAGTGTGGGAGGGCCGGAGAGAATGCATACGATCCCTCACGGTGCTGGGCGGGCGGCAGCAATGATGCCCCATCTTGTGGGTGCTGCTTGGACACATCGGAGCCCAGAGCCCTGCTGAGACTCTCACACTACACCGAGGGTGCCCGGCAGCGCCGATGAAGCTCCTCGCAGCCTCCCGAATGTCTGCCCCTGCCCTGTGGCCCAGCTGCAAACAGCTACCCTCCCTCCTGCCTGTGGTCCTGGCAGTTCCCGCGGCACCTGGAGCCACACGTGCGCCGGGCACAACTCCCGGAGGTGGGCGAGTCATTGCCACAGCGTGGTTGACGAGACATGATGGATTCCTCCGGGACAAGCCTGTTGTCTGATGAGGAATGCCATTTCCGTGAGCCAGCAGGATGGGGACGGCCTCAACAGGAAGCACGGAGACCCCTGGCAACGCTTGGCTCAGCCCGAGCTTGCTCCCTGGCCCTCAGCCCGCCCTCCTGCGGCCAGGCGAGATGGCAAGCCATCCAGAGCAGCCAGGCCTTGAGTTCTTGCCTCCTCCATCTGCGGAAGGAATTTCTCAATGCACAGAGAGGGATCCTCTGTCCCTGGGCCCTTCCTCCTGTTCACGCTGCTCAGCAGTCTGCTCTGTCTGCAGCATCTGCCGGCACAGCTTAGTGCAGGCCGTTCTCGGGGCAGGAGGTAACATTTAGGTATCAGAAGACCTGAGATGTCGATGCAAAAAACTGAAGCGTGAACTGGAAAAACAGATTTCTGAAACAGGAGGTGGCAGATGTGTGGCTTGATAAAACAGCAGAATCCTTCTCCCGCTCCCCACCACGGGAGAGCCCTGGGTGCATGGTTGGTTTGCTGGATCGGTTATTTGGTGGACCCTCAGGCGACCCTGCCTGCCATCTGCCGGGGAGGAAACTGCAGATGACAGAGGCGTACGGTGGGGAAGCAGGTGACGGTTGGGACCTATGGGATCGTGGAGGAGCCAGGCTCCACCATTAGCCCAGGAGACCGGGAGGACAAGGTGGGAGTGTGTGGCCAGCATGACAAATCTAGGAGTAGTTGGTGAGTTGGTTTGACCAGAACCCGGAGAAGGGGAATGAGCCTCTGTTTCCCCCCCTAGGCCTGGGGAGTAGGCAGCCTGGTCCTTCTCCGTGTACGTGTGACATTGGCATCACCCTGCAGGGTCCAGACTTGGAGCCACTGCCATGGGAAGGCGGCCGCTCCCCTGGGCGGACTGCCCCTCCAGCACAGTTCTCCCCGTCTCTCTGTTTCAGCCGGAAGGAGCCCCCCGTGCGTACACCTACAGTGCTTTCTTCTGTCCCAACGGTGAGTCCCTGCACCCACCCTGCTGAGGACTTTGGCCCTTACCCCCACACTGTCACAGCTCTCCCACTGTGAAGTGGATGCCTGCCCTTCCTGGGCTCAGAAGACACAGAAGCGGAAAACTGAGATGTCCGGGCTGGTGACAACCATGAGCCAGAGTGAGGGCCGGGCATCTGCCACGCAGGAAGGAAGTGCCCACGAACGTAGACTGGAGGCGTCAATGAGAAGAGAGACCGTGGGCACAAATAGGGCTGTCCGCAGGGCCCTGGGGTGAGGAGCCTAGGATCCAGGGAAGGGAGGGCTTAGAGTCACGTCAGGGGAAAGCTGTGGGAAGAAGTCTGACCCAGAATCCTGGGCCCATAGAGAAGATAAGAAATTAAAGCGGGTTCCAGAAGGTGTGGGATTCGGGGTCTGCCTCAATCCCCTGAAATCGACATTATACTTGTACATGATCCATGACAAGGAAATGGGTACAGAGTGCCCAGTGGATGCCTCTACCTTGGTGGGGTCAGGGAAATGCTAAGCAGAATGTCTGCCCTCTCCCTGTCCAGTCCCTCCCAGAGGAACCATTTAGCTTGGAGCTCAGGCCTGGCTTGTCACTGGGCAGTCACCCAGCAGGCTTTGGCAGGTGACGGAGCTGAGGATCCAAGCTGGAGTCTCTGGGGGTTGCCATTGCCAAGGCATTCAGCATGACAGGTCCCATAACCCACACAGACCACTCTGGACACAGGTTTCCTCTTGACATGTTTCCCCATTTTTTGTATTAAATAGCAATATGGTACATATATGCTCAAATGATTTTTGACAGGGGTACAAAAGCAATTCAATGAAGGAAGGAGAGCCTTTTCCACAAACGGTGCTGGAGTAACTGGACATCTATTGGCAAAAGCATGAACTTTGACCTAAAGATCCCACTTTATACAAGAATTAACTCAAATGGATTGTGGACTTACATGTCAAACTATAAAATTTTTAGGAAAAAATTTGGGAGAAAAGCCTTTGGGATCTAGGGCTAAGTGAAGAGTTTTTAGATATGATACCAAAAAGCATGACCCATAAAAGGAAACTGATGAATGAACCTCATCAAAATTAAAAACTGCTTTGCAAGGGGCGCCTGGGTGGCTCAGTCGGTTAAGTGTCTGACTCTTGATCTCAGCTCAGGTCTTGATCTCAAGGTCTTGAGTTCAAACCCCATGCTGGGCTCCATGCTGGGTGTGGAGCCTACTTAAAAGGGGGGAAAAAAAACTGCTTTGCAAAAGATGCTGTTAAGAGGAAGAAATACAAGCTACACACTGGGAGAAAATCTTTCCAAACCCAGATCCAACAAAGAACTAGTATCTAGAATATATAAAGAGCTCTCAAAATTCAACAATAAATAAAACAATCCAATTAGAAAGTGGGAAAAAGGAGGGGCACCTGGTTGGCTCAGTCAGTGGAGCATGAGACTCTTAATTTTGGGGTTATGAGTTCAAGCCCCATGTTGGGTGTGGAGATTACTTAAAAATAAAATCTTAAAAAAATATACGGGAAAAAGAAATAAACAGTTCACCGAAGAAGATACACAGGTAGCAAATAAGCACATGCAAAGGTGTTCAACATCATTAACCATTAGCAAAATGCAAAATAAAGCACTGTGAGTTATCAATGCATACTTACCAGAATGACTAAAATTAAAAAAAAAAAAAAAGTCACCACAATAAAAGATGGCCAGGATGTGGAGAAAAGGGATCATTTATACATAGCTGGTGGGAATTGTAAAATGGTATGGCCACTGCTGGTAGTTTCTTAAAAAGCTACACATGTTCCAAAGAAATTGCACTACGAGGCATTTATCCTAGAGAAATGAAGATTTCTGTTTACACAAAAACCCATAAACAGACATTCATATCAGCTTTATTTGTAATAGCCCCAAACTGGAAACAGGCTAGGTGTCCTTCAGTGGAATGAGTGGTTATACAAATTATGGTACATTCATACCTTGGAATGCTATTCATTGGTAAAAAGTAACAAACTATTGATATATGGAGCAACTTGGATGAAGGGGATTGAGTGAAAAAAACTCAATCCCAAAGGGTCCATAAATGATTCCATTTATGGTATTTTTGAAATGACAAAATTTTAGAAATGGAGATCATATTAGTCATTGCTGACATGGGGAAGAATGGTGTGGATATGGTGATAAAGGGCAATAGGAGGGATCCTGTACAAATAAAATTGGGGAAATCTGAATAAGATTAATGGATTGTATCAATGTCAATATCCCAATTGTGATACTGTAGTAGAATTTTGAGAGATAGCACTGGGGGAAACTGGGTCAAGAGGACACAGGATCTTTCCATATTGTTTCTTACAGTTGTCTGTGAATCTATAATTATCTTAGTAAAATTTAAATTAAAAACATTTTTCAAAGTGAAACATGTGTGGGACACCTGGGTGACTCAGTCGGTTAAGCGCCCAACTCTTGATTTTGGCTCAGGTCACGATCTCAGGGTCGTGAGATCAAGCTTTGGGATTTTCTCTCCCCATATGCCCCTCCCCACCTCCCTCTCTCTAAAAAAAAAAAAAGTGATACATATGTACAAATACTGTATGAATGTACTTGTATGAGGTACTTAGAGAAGTCAAAATCATAGAGACAGAAAATAGAATGGTAGGAGCCGGGGGCTGTGGGGAGGGGTTGGTGACTTAGTGTTTAATGGGGATAGAGTTTCAGTTTTGCAAGATGAAAGGAGTTCTGGAGGTGGACAGTGCTGACATTTGCACAATATGACTGTATTTGATACCACTGAACTGTACATTTAAAAATGTTTAAGATGGCAAACTTTACATTATGTGTATTTTACCACAATAAAAAAAATTGGGAAAAGAAAAAGCAATACCTATGTATTACAGGGAACTTAGAAAGAAGGAAAAAATATCTCCTCTGGTTCGCATCCATAGATGACCTCTTCTGACATTTTGCTGTATTTGGTTTCATAGGATTGATTGTTGTTTGTTTTAACATAGTTGTAACTCATGAGCTATACAATTTTGTGTTCTGCCTTGCTCATTTAACACATCCCGAGCCCTTTTCCTTGTTATTGTAAAGTCTTTATAAACAGCATTTCAGAACAGTTTCAGTATGTTCTATCAAACGACTGTTCGCGGGGCGCCTGGGTGGCTCAGTCGGTTAAGCGTCTGCCTTCAATTCAGGTCATGATCCCAGGGTCCTGGGACCAAGTCCCGCATCAGGCTCCCTGCTCAGTGGGGAGCCTGCTTCTCCCTCTGCCTGCCACTCCCCTCTGCTTGTGCTCTCTCTCTCTGTCAAATAAATAAATAAAAATCTTAAAACAAAACAACAGCAATAACAAAAAACGGCTGCTCCATAATTTGATCATTATGGAATGTTTTGAAACATTGTTGGGCACTTATATATGGTTTCTATTTTTACATCATAATTTATGCTAGGCTGAATATATATTTGTATTCAAAGTAAAATCGGCAGTGTTTTTAACATGTTTATGGAGGTATAATTGACTATAATAACTCACACGTACTTTAAGTGTACAGTTTGGTAAATGTTGGCATATGTGTACATCTGTGAAACCATCACAACTAAGATAATGAGGATTTCCACTAAACCCAAAAGTCATGCTCCCTGTAACTACTCACCCCTGCCTACTCTTGTCACTAGGGAACTACTCACCTTCCTTTCAGTCTCTATAGATTGCTTTGCTCTTTCTAGACTTTTATATAAATGGAATCATATAAAATGTACTCTATCTGGTTTCTTTCAGCGTAAAAATTTTGAGATGCATCCATGTTGTGTGTATCAATAATTCAGTCATTTTAAGGCTGAGTGGGACTCCATTGAACGGATGCATTGCACTTTGTTTATTCATTGACCTGTTGGTGGACATTTGAGTTATTTCCAGTTTGGGGCTATTTCCAATAAAGCTGCTATGAATATTCATGGACAAGTCTTTGTATGGGTAATATGTTTTCCTTTCTCTTGAATCAGTACCTATGAGTGGAACAGCGAAATCATACAGTAGGTATGCGTCCAACCTTTTAAGAAATGGTCGCACAGTTTTCCAAAGTGGTAGTACCCTTTTGCATTCCCACCAGCAGGGGGTGAGAGTCACTTCCTCGCTCTCCTCACCCACACTTGGGGTTGTCTGTCTGATTAATTTCAGGCATTCTAAAAGGTGTCTGATGGTATCTCATTGTGGTTTTAATGTGCATTTCCATCATTCAAGCATCTCTTCATGTGCCTGTTTACTGCTGGTATATTTTTTTTCGGTGAAGTGCCTGTTCAGTTCTTTTAACATTTATTTTAAATTGAGTTTTGGAAGTTTTAAAAAATATATTCTGGATACAAGTCCTTTCCCAGGTAAATGCTTCACAAAGACATTTCTCCCAGTGTGTGGCTTGTCTTTTCTTTCTCCTAATAGTGTCTTTCAAAGAGCAGAAGTTTCTCATGTCGATGTGGTCCAGTCAATCAGTCTTTCCTTTTATGGATTATGCTTTTGTTGTATCTAAGAAATCTTTTCCAAATCCTACGTTTTCTCCTCAGAGTTTGTAGTATTAGGTTGTACGCTTATAAAATGGCTATGAACTATTTCGAGTTGGTATTTGGAGACCATGCAAAGTGTGGTTCGGAGTTCCCCTTTCCTGCTTCTGGGTAACTAGCTGTTCCAGCACCATTGGATGAGACGATTTTCGCTGTTGAATTGCCTTCACACCTTTGTTGCAAATCAGTTGTTCATACACATGTGGGTCCCTTTCTGGACTCCCTACTCTGTTCTGTTGAGCACCTGCCTGTGTTGACATCAGTACCGCACTGTTGTGATTCCTACAGCTTTTGATTACGTCTCGGTGTCAGAGGTGTGAGTCCTTTGACTTGGTTCTTTATCAAAGTTGTTTTGGCTCTTCTAGATTCTTGATGTTTCTCTATAAATTGTGGAATCAGCTTTGTAATTTCCCCCAGAAGACCCTGCTGTGTTTTGATTGGGATCGCAGCAAATCTGAACATCCGTTTGGGGAATAATGAACGTATTTGCCGTATTGTCTTCTGACCCACGGACACGGTCTAGCTCTCCACCGATTTGGGTCTTCATTAGTTTCAAGAATCTTTTGCAGTCTCCTGTGTACAGGTCTTTGCACGTATTCTGTAGGATTTATCCCTGTGAGCATTTTATCTTTTGTGTGCTCTTGGCAGAGCTGTCATTAAGCCAGCTCCATTGGCTGTCCCCCTGTGGTCCTGATTCTAAGCTCTGGGCACAGGCAGGGAGAGGCAGGATGCCTCCAGGGGTGCCTTCAACCCCCTTTCTCCTTCCCTCCATCCAGAGAGAGTCCACATCTCCACACCCAACAAGTATGAGTTCCAGTATGTGCCACGGCCGTTGTGTCTCACCCGTTTTGATGTGGCTGTGCGAGCCCACAATGATGCCCGAGTGGCCTTGTCCCCCGGGCCCCAGGACACAGCAGGCATGATAGAGATCGTCCTGGGGGGGCACCAGAACACCAGGTCCTGGATCTCCACCAGCAAGATGGGCGACCCTGTGGCCAGCACACACACGGCAAAGATCCTGTCCTGGGATGAATTCAGAACATTCTGGATCAGCTGGCATGGCGGGTTCATCCAGGCATGGCCGGGCTGACTGGGGTGGGCATGGGAACCTCCTGCTTCTGGGCATTTGCTACCTCCTGATCTGTGTCCAGCTCTGACAGGGGGCAGGGAGGAGGGAGGGTAAACACAGGGCACTATCTCAGGCTGCTCACAGTCTGCCTGGAGTTGCTTACAGGGGTGTAGGGATCTGAGAGCTGAGGGATGGTGGGTAGCCATGGAGAAGGAAGGTGGATATAAGTAGGTGAAATGGGGGCTGGTGAATTTTAGGGACCAGGCAAAGGGGACATAGAAAAAGAGCAGCTAATACAGCTTTCTAGAGGAGGGACATAGCCAAATGGGGTTTTGAAACATGAATAGGAGTTCACCAGGCAAACTGGGGAGTGGAGGATGTTTCAGGCAGAGGGAATAGCATGTGCAAAGGCCCAGAGACTCCCAGGAGCCCTATGACTTCGGAATCTGTAGATGCCACACTTGTGTCTCTGTTGGCCATTGAAGGGGGTGAGGTGACCTTTAGTTTCTCTGTGACCCCCATAGCCAGTGTCCCTGCTGCCTGAGCACCACTGTGTGCTTCCTTCCAGCATCCAGCATCCTTGGCCTCTTTTTCCAGGTTGGCCATGGTCCAGAGCCTTCCAATGAGTCTGTCATCATGGCCTGGACCCTCCCCAGGCCACCAGAGGTCCGATTCATCGGCTTCTCCACTGGCTGGGGCTCGGTGGGTGAGTTCCGCATCTGGAAGAAGGTGGAGGTGGACGAGAGCTACAGTGAGGCCTTTACCCTGGGAGTCCCGCACAGCGCCATCCCTGGGTCTGAGCGGGCAGTGGCCTCCGTCATAGGTGCGTCTGCCTTGTAGCCTGGCCCGGGGAGAATGGGGGCAAGGACTCAGGCCAGGGGGCAAGGTGTCCACTCCAGACTCGGTTTCACATCAGCCTCTACTGGGGATCTGTTTCTCCTGGGATTCCAGCCCCATACCCACTCACCCGACAAGCAGCTTCTGGTGATTTCTCCGTGCTGGGGCAGACCCAGAGATGACCCCAACCCTGTCTTTGAGGCATTTTCAGTCTGCCCGAGGTGGGTCCAGACCCAGCCTGTCCAAGCCCTGTGTGAGGCAACCCCAAGGGGCAGGTGGTCAATTCTGTGAGAGCAGTGAGTGTGGGGTGATGTGCAAGAAGGCAGAAAGTCTGGGTGAAGTCAGCGAGGCACAGGGTGGAAGGTGGGGGTCCTGGTGAGAGGGGCAGACATCCAGAGCGTTTGCTAAGCAGGAGTAAGTGGCTATGACCGGGGGTCTGTAGGATGTGGGTTGTCTCCTATAGCCCAGGTACAGGAGTGGAAAGTGGGGACTGTGTGGTCAACATGGTGTTGGGTGTTGGAAGGATGGAGAAGAGGGGAAGAGGCCCGGAGGGGCACATAGGCCTGAATGCAGGGGTCTTGGGTCTCTCTGACATCAGAGGACAGAAGTCCTGGGGCCCAGACAGGTTAGTGTTTGTAGCCAGATCAGAGGATGTGGGAGTTTGCAATTTCTGAGGCAAGAGATCAAGTGAGAGATGGCCCTAGGGGCGAGTGGCCTGGGTAGTGGCATAGGGGAGCAAGCAGATGGGCAGGGATGGAGACGGGGCAAGGGCCGGGACCTCTGGGCCAGTGCCTATCAGCACAATGGGATGGAGGGTGGAGAAGAAGCTGGGAAGCCCAGAGGAGGGTGATGAGAAAGTAGGCAGGCTCTGCCATGGATGGAGGCTGCAGGAGCAGTGGCAGCCTCGGTGGGGCAGGAGGAAAGGCCAAGGAAGGAAGGGAAGTGTGACCAGGGAACAGCAGGAGTTCTGGAGGGCCCATCAGCCATGTGTGATGCAGAGAAGCCAAGAAGAGGAATGCAGAGTGCTGAAGGGAGGAAAACACAGGAGAAATTGAAAAGAAAAAAGAACTGAAAAATATATCAACAATGTCATGTGGGTATGGAAACTTAAAAAAAAATCTAAATACTCATGATTGAAGAGAAAATCACATTTCCTACTGGAAATTAGAAAAAATATTTAAAATAGAACCATAATGGCTGGATTGATCGATCATTTGTGGGATGCAACCAAAGTTGTAAGAGGAAAATGTATAGCTTTAAATGCACCTGTTTTAAAAGCCACAAAGAAATGAGCATTCAGCATAATGAAGAGGTAGAGAAAGAACACCGAGCTGAGACCAAAGAACACAGAGGGAGGTGTGTAGGAGAGTTCCAGTGGGTGGCCACCAAAGCCAGGGCCCCCGGTGGGCTAAGTGGGCATGGGGCGCAGTCGGGTCCCGAAGGGCAGTCAGAGGGTGGGTGGCCGGTGTTAGGCCATAGGCCGCGCTGGCGAAGGCTATCCCTAGGACAGCCAGGGCACCATTTGAGGCCGGCCCGCAGCCCAGCCCTCATTTCCTCCCCACCAGGAGACGTCATGGGACCAACCCTGAACCACCTCAGCAACCTCCTGCGGCTGCCCTTTGGCTGCGGAGAGCAAAACATGATCCACTTTGCACCCAACATCTTTGTCCTGAAGTATCTGCAGAAAACCCAGCAGCTCAGCCCCGAGGTGGAGCGAGAGACCACGGACTACCTGGTACAAGGTACCAGGGCTGGGGGGGCGGGGTGCTGCCCAGGGAGACGGCATGGGGAGGGAGGCAGCCCACGTGCCCGGTATAGCGGATGCGGAGGAAGGGACCCAAGTGGATGAAAGGGGCCACTCGGGGTGGCCCATCAGGTCTGTCAGCAGGAGCCCAGGGTCTGTACAGTTTGGGCATGGCTCTGCATGCTGGGAATCAGCTATGGGGAGAGGAATGGCATCTTCTAAAAATGTAGATTTTTTTTTTTTTAACAAGAAGAGCAATATAGGGTGCTTGGGTGGCTCAGTTGTTTAAGCGTCTGCCTTCGGCTCAGGTCATCATCCCAGGGTGCTGGGATCAAGCCCCGCATCGGGCTCCTTGCTCAGCGGGGAGCCTGCTTCTCCCTCTCCCTCTGCCGCTCCCCCTGCTTGTGCTCGCTCTCTCTGTCAAATAAATAAATAAAAAATCTTTAAAAAAAAAAAAGCAATATAATAGCATTATAAAAAAACATTTAGAGAAGAAAAATAATTCCCTATAATCCCCCCATCCATGTTGGCTCTGAATTTATGCTCTCCAGCAACACAGGTTAACGTGGTCGCTCTTGGTGCCTCGTGGTGTGGCATCCTTCAGTGTGTCCCAGCCACATACTGTGTGTATGCGATTTGTCCACCGGGCTGTGTGGAGCCGAGTTCCATTCACCCCCCCTTGCCCCGCTCCACGGCAGGACCAGGGGCAGCGTGTCTGATGATGGGCGCTGGAGCAGCATCACATTCAGGGCTTTTAGAATCCGGTTGCCCTGAGGCATCCTGTCCACGTGCTTGGTGAAAACATCCGAATTTCTATGGCGCCGGTGTCCAGAGTAAAATTGCTGGGTCTCAGGATGTGCTCATAGTCATTTTCCAGGTTACCTGCTTTGTCCCTCACTTACATTTATGGAATACAACGTACTAAACTCTTCTCTTGGACCTGGCGGGGTTATTTCCGGCTTTTTCCTCCCTGCATAATGCAGCATTGAATATCTTCAGAAATAAACAATGCAGCACTGAACATCTTCAGAAATAAATAAGACCGCACGGAACAGCCTCAGAAATCACGCGGCACCGAGGGTCTTCCGTCACCAGGAATCAGATCCTTAGGAAAGGGTACAGCTCCGTGTGTGGAGGGTAGGACCTCTGAGCGCCCTGACCCACCCCCTCTGCATGTCTTGGCCCCATAGGAGGGTCATGGGGACGTCTGTAGCCTCACCTCTGTCACAGGCACCTGCTGTGTGTCCTCAGGTAGGGCCTGTTCTCAGTGCCTTAGTTTCCTATCTGTGTAGCAATGGAGTTAAGTCAGTTGATGCCAAGGTCCTGAGGCCTCCTGAGGTGTGCTTCTGGCCTTGGGCTGGAGCTGGAGCGAAGGGGAGGAAGGCGAGGGTTTGACCCAGCTGTGAAGCTGGCGTTCACAGCGGGCAGGTACGTGTACTTCCACCTGTGCTGCCCCAAGTCGCCCTCCCACAACCCCAGACTAATGGTCCTCATTTCCCACATGAGCCACGTGAGGCTCCTCAGAGCAGCCAGCCTGAGACCGTGCAGGGTGGTGGGGGCTTCTGAGACCCCAAGCTCGTCCGGATTGGATTGGCTGGCCAGGGCACTAGGTCCCAGCCAGAGTGAGAGGAGAGCCCACAGGCACCACCTTGGAAATTTCTGCCTTCAAGAAAGACCGGCGTGTGCCCGGCTCAGAGGATGTCAGGTCCCTCTCAGATGGGGAAACTGAGGCATGTGAGCGCCTTGATTCCTGAGGCGACTCTGGAGTTCCTGCTTCCTGGCCTGTCAGGGTTCCCTGTAGAAGATCTCCAAAAGCAGTCCTGATGATGCAGAACCATCCGTTCTCAACGGGAAAAGGAAAGCGCAAGAGCTCATGGTGAATGTGGAAACTCTTGAATGGAAAGGCAAAGTCAGGGGTTGCCACGAGCCGAAAATCTGGCTTGATAAAGGCTGACCAGAGACTGCCGGGAACCCCAAGAAGCCCACTCGGTCTGTGGCCAGGGACGCTCAGGTCGCTGAACCCATCTGGGCTCGGGCCTCGAACGCCACCCCCAGTCTGATGACCCCTAGTCATCAACGGCTGCCGGGAGCTCCCCTGAGCAGCCAGACCCCGTGCCCTTCAGCCAGTGGGCATTCCAGACTCTACAAGCTTCCCATCGAGCCCCCTCCCCCGGTTTTCTGCCAGGCTTGCTGGTGTTCGTTTCCTGGGGCCGCCGGCACAGGGGCAGGCTCCCTGGAGTGCGCTTCACAGGCAGGGCATTTCTTTCTCCTGTGTCTGAGTCTATTTCTGCATCTCTTCTCTTCTGAGGATACCAGTCATTGGATCCAGGTCCTACCTTATTCCAGGACGATCTCATCTGGAGATCTTCAGCATGATCACAACTGCAAAGACCCTTCTTCCCTCATAAGGTCCCATTTTGGGTTCCTCTCCAGACCCTACAGACCACCCACTACATATGTCCCCTCACAGCCCTCCCTGGCTCGCCTGGCCCATGCCCCCCTGCTGCCCTCACAATAAGGCCAAACACCCAGTGTGGCCCGAGTGGCCGCCTCACCTCCCTCCCCTGCCCCCTTGCTCTTCTGCTCTGGCTCTTCTGGTGCCTTCTGTTCTCTGAGCACACCAGGCTCTCGTGGACTAGTCCCCACCCCTGGGGACAGAGGGTGTTGCCTCGAGATGGGGCAGGTCCCTGACCACGCAGGCCTGAGTGAGGGCCTGTGTGTGACCAGGAGTGACAGAGAGGTGATGTCAGGAAATGAGAGGAACAAAGTAGAGCTTTCAGGGGCACCTGGGTGGCTCAGATGGTTAAGCGTCTGCCTTCGGCTCAGGTCATGATCTCAGGGTCCTGGGATCGAGTCCTGCATCGGGTTCCCTGCTCAGTGCAGAGCCTGCTTCTCCCTCTCCCTCTGCCACTCCCTCTGCTTGTGCTCTTCTGTCTATCTCTTTGTCAAATAAATAAATAAATAAAAAGTAGAGCTTTCAGCCGCACCCGTGGTGTGGAGCCCTTTCAGGGTCTCCAGGGGTGGGTGTGGGGCAGTTTCCAGACTCCAGATGTGGGTGGGGGTGGTTTTGGCGACCCTGGATGTGAGTGTTGCATCATGGGGGGGGATCGCAGGGACGTTCCCAGGACGCTGACCCCTCCGCTTGCTCCGCAGGCTACCAGCGGCAGCTGACCTACAGGCACCAGGACGGCTCCTACAGTGCATTCGGGGAGCGGGACGCATCAGGGAGCATGTGGTGAGTCCCCACTTCGGGCGCACGGCCACGGGGGCTCTCCCACCCGAAGCCGCAGCCCCCCATGCCACACCGAATGGCCCGGACGCTCGGGGCCAGATCCCCAGGGTGACAGAGATAGCCATGGTCCCGGCCCCCCCGGGCGTTCAGAGGGCTGGATGTGGGCAGCTTGCTGGGCTCTGGGTGTGGTGATGGGGGGTGGTGGCAGTGACAGGGACTATTTCTCGTAGTTAGTCTTTCTCCTGTTGTCGCCACATGGCCCGGAACGGAGCCCTTGCTCTCCAGCCTCTCAGGAGCAGGTCCTGGATGCTCTGAGGCCTCTTCAGAGCCCACTGGACCCCAAAACAGGGGTGACCCCGAGTAGGAGGGGGGGGGCCGTCCACCACCGGGAGGCTGAGGTCGGGGGAGCGTGTGGGCAGAGCAGCCTGGAGTCTGGTTTCCCTTGCAAGCGGCTCCCTTTGGCTTTCGGGGCGACCAGGCCAGGAGGGCCCGGTGCGGGGCTGCGCACACCTGGGTCTTGCTCCCCGGGAGCCTCAGAGCAGGGCAGTTTGCGTGATTGTGGATTTGCCATATCCACCTTGGGGCTTGCAGGGACCGTGGGGCACCCCAGCTTCTGTCCCCAGATGGGGTTTCTCTCCCCGAGCGCAGGGGGCTGTGGGCATGAAAACTGCCCTCCCTGTCCTGAAACTGACCCAGAGTGTCCGCCGCACAGCAGCATGGCCAGGGCCCACGGGCGCAGCGACACAGCTGGCTGAGGGTCCCCCCCTCCCCCCCCCGCCGTGTGCAGTGTTGCTTACTTGGCTCCGGAGGGCCGACCTGCCCAGAGAGAGTGTGGGGATGCCACAGTGCCCAGCACTCGGGCTCCGCGTGGCCCCGCGGCCCGGCGGCCTGCGCATGCGTACAGCGTTGGGCCCTTCCCTCTGGGGCGTGGCCGGGCTGATGGAGGCGCCCCAAAGGCAGGAGAAAGGATGGGTTTGGGGGTCCGGGAGGGAGAGTGGCCGGGACGAGCAGACTCCTGGGGAGGGTGCATGCAGCCTTGGAGTTATGGGCTATTTCACATTTTGGCGATTCACCGCAACACAGCCTTGATTTTCTTTCTCTTAACTTCTTTCTGTGGGTGCGGTAAAGTACGCATAACATACAATTTATCATCTTCACCATTTTTAAGTGTCCAGTCCAGTGACATTCAGTATATTCACGCTCTTATGCCGCCGTCACCGCCGTCCGTCCCCAGAACTCTTTTTAATCTTGTAAATCTGAAACTCTGTCTATTACATACGGACTCCCCCCCCGCTCCAGCCCCCCGGCACCCCCGTTCTAGTTTCTGTCCCTGTGAATTTGGTCCCTCCCGGGACCTCCCGTGAGTGCGATCATAGCTTCCTTTTCTGCGCGGCTTGCTTCACGGCTCACAGTGTGCTCGAGGTTCGCGCCGTGCTGGAGCAGGGTCAGTGTTGCTCCCCCTGAAGGCCGAATAACATCCCGGTGTGTGGAGGCACCCCGTTTTGTGAATCTCTTCATCAGTCTAGACACTCAGGTCATCCCATGTTTCAGCTGCTGTGATAGAGAGCGGTGAACACGGGTGTACAAGTATCTCTTCGCGACCCTGCTTCCGATTCCCGAGGGGATGTTCCCAGGAGTGGAATCGTGGGACCCCATGGGAGCTCGGCCTCTAACTTGGCCAGGAACCGCCCGGCTGGCTTTTTACAGCTGCTGCGCGGGTTTACACTCCCACAGCGGCGCACAGGGGCTCCCGGTCTGCGCCGCCTCGCCGCAACTGTTGGTTTCTGCCGCTTGGACAGTAGCCGCCTGGTGGGGGTGGGTGGGGGAGCCACTTGATCTTGAAGAGCGGGGCCTGCCCCTCCGTCCTGTTGCTCGTCCTTCTCGGCTCCTTGCATTCCATCCAGTGGTTCTCCTGCGTTGATTTTTCACCCCCTCATTCATCCCTTGGGCCCATCAGCTCTCACTCAGGTGCACC